TTTTTTTTTTTTTTTTTTTTTTAATAAATGAACAGGTCCTTATGGTCCTGGCTCCATATCCATTCCGGGGAGCCTCAGTCCGGTTCCTATTCCGCCGGCAAGTCGGAACAATAGAATTACATCTTGCACACACACCCACGCCGGCCTTCCGTCCGGCCGAAGGGTCCCTGAACAACATTGACTAATCCATTTTACTGGAGGATTGACTGTGCACTTGCCTTTTCCTATAGTCCCTCTCAGGGTCCTCTGTGGCTACCGTCTTCACCCGAATAGAACACCCGGTCATTATAGCTGAATTTGGCACACCTTCCTGTCCATATACAGCTGTTACAATCCTGGCCAATTTCGAAGTATACATTCATCAGAAAGTACAATGCCGTCAAATTGCAAAAAGAAATGAATGAACTTGAGAGGAGAGAGAGGGAAAGAAGAAGGAGAAAAAGAAAGAAAGAAGAAGAAGATGATGTACTCCAGCCTAGACCAAAGATAATGCTCTTCTTCTTCGCCAACCAATCCCATCCTCCTTATCTCCTCCCCTCTTATTCAAACAAGAAATAACAATAATAATGTTGAATGGCTGAACCAGAATCAACGTCCGAATCCCTCTTCTACTGCACGCACAACATGAGGTCCACCATAGCCATGACCACCCCTCCTCTTCCTCTTCATGTAGGCCGAGGCTATGGTGGAGTACTGAGGACTCTACCCTCCTGTCCAAAGGACAACCCAAAGCAGCTATGTCGCTGCCCTCCTGTCCCAAGGTCAACATCAGGCAGCTATACCGCTGCCCACTCAGCCGCCATGCCTGACTCTGTCCCGAGCTTCCTTGCTGTGGCACTACCCCAACTGGGGCCTTCCCGATGCAGTGCCTAACCAGGTGATTAAGATGGTGTCCACCATAGCCAGGTAGGTACCTCGCCACTCTCCTCCTTGGTCCTCTTCTCCCTCCTCCTCCTACCGGTAGAGCTCCACCATAGCCAAGGTGGAAGCTCCCGGGCTTCTTCCTCCCAGCAGCGCTGTAGTAGCCAGCGCTCCAGCAGCGTGTCGCCAAACTTGCACACTGAAGAATGAGGCCGGGCTCTTCCCTCGGCCTTCTGATATAGCGGCCTACTTGCCTCCTGGGCGGTGACTTCTAGGCCGCTCGGCCTCCCAAGCAACTGGCACCTCCTCCCTTTCTGAGGGAAACATCATTGCAGACTCTGATATTGCCCGTACAGGCCTAGACCTAGCCTACCGCTACTGGGCCTCTAAAAATGCCAACTTTGTCTTCTTCTGCTCGGCCTCGAGTACCCGGCACATCTACTTCTACTGGGTGCGGTACCGGCCTACCTGCTGCTTGAGTGTTTTTCCGCTGCTCTAAGTGCCGTGGGCCTCTGGCTCTGCTACTTGAGTGTTTTTCCTGCCTCAACCCTTGATATCACGGCCACATGTGAGTACCGGCCCTACGGGCCTCCCAAACAAGCAAGTACCCTTGCAGGTCACACACACACTCATGCCGACAAGCACTCAGACAGGCACGCAGGTCAACAAGCATGCACACATACAGACTTAGAAAACTCAGCAGAATGCGGGAATCTCAGCAAGGTATCCATTCCATCGGCAGAACTTCAGAAATCAGCAGTGTTCTCAGTCTGTGTTATGGCGGGTCATTACACAGCGATAATTACCGGGCGCTCTATTCGGGTGAGATGGGTAGCCTGTCAACTAAACATTAATGCAAACAAGGGGAACAGAGATCAACGGCTGAAGTAATCCTAATCCGCCTTATGTGGGTGGCTCTGACGTCTTGTTGCTCAGACCGGTAGAACCTCCTTGGCTTGGCCCCTGAGGGGTAGTAGAGATCAGCCAATCGTTCCATCTGATATGAAGTCCATGAATATCGACGATCTTCCCTTGAACCAACCGTACCCTCCTCAACTTGGTTATCATCTCTTGCTGCTTCTCCAGGGTTCTCCCGTATTCGGAGCTTGACTTTCTTCTTCCACTGGCAGAGGATCTCCATTTCCATTAACAGCCTTGCTGTTGGCCATACCAGCTCACTCCGGGGGATCTCTGGACTTGTCCAGGGTTCTGTAACTTCTGTTGCATCTTTCCTTCGATATCCCCCAGAGTGTCATCTTCCGGATTATCCCGAACCATACACGTTCAGATTTGTTAAATTGGGCAGGGATGTTAGTCCATAGGAGTGGTTGGATTGGGTGTTCGGGAGGGGAGGAGGAGAATAGGTGGTCCCACAGGACTGAAGCTCTCACGCATTGATCAGAAGCATATTTCCAGATTTAACTTATGAGGCCGTCTATCAAATCTTCCTGTTCGCTGTCTGAGCATGCCAGACATTGCTCTAAGCTATTTGGGTCGTTGTTTCTACTTCTTCTGACATGTAGCCAGCTGTTCTTGACGGGGAGAGCCGCGTAAGACTGCGGCAATTTTTGAATTTCATTTTGCAGCAGTTTGGAATTTCATGTGTGGCAATTTTGCAATTTGCAGACTCGTTTTCTGACGGTGACGATATTTGCTTTTAACTTTTTTATGACTTTGTTTTCAATTTCTTTTCTCTTTTCTTGAATCTTTACGGTGACGATGTTTGCTTTTAACTTTTTTGTGACTTTGTTTTCAATTTCTTTTCTCTTTTCTTGAATCGTTATTAACTTGTTTTTCTTTCCTTTCCTTTTTTTTTTTTTTTTTTTTTTTTTTTTTTTTTTTTTTTTTTTTTTTTTTTTTTTTTTTTGCTTCCCTATACTGATGACATTCATTGTTATATGC